GGGTTCAACGGGTAGTGATCAACGGCTTGATGTCTAACTGGCAGCCTGTATCAAGTGGAGTGCCCCAGGGGTCGGTCCTGGGGCCGATTTTGTTCAACATCTTCATTAATGATCTGGATGCTGGGATGGATTGCACCCTCAGCAAGTTCGCAGATGACACTAAGATGGGGGGAGAAGTAGATATGCTGGTGGGTAGGGATAGGGTCCAGAGTGACCTAGACAAATTAGAGGATTGGGCCAAAAGAAATCTGATGAGGTTCAACAAGGACAAGTACAGAGTCCTGCACTTAGGACAGAAGAATCCCATGCGCTGCTACAAGCTGGGGACCGACTGGCTAAGCGGCAGTTCTGCAGAAAAAGACCTGGGGATTACAGTGGACAAGAAGCTGGATATGAGTCAACAGTGTGCCCTTGTTGCCAAGAAGGCTAACGGCATATTGGGCTGCATTATTAGGAGCACTGCCAGCAGATCGAGGGAAGTGATTATTCCCCTCTATTTGGCACTGGTGAGGCCACATCTGGAGTATTGTGTCCAGTTTTGGGCCTCCCACTACAGAAAGGATGTGGATAAATTGTAGAGATTCCAGCGGAGGGCAACCAAAATGGTTAGGGGGCTGGGGCACATGACTTATGAAGAGAGGCTGAGGGAACTGGTCTTATTTAGTCTGCAGAAAAGAAGAGTGAGGGGGGATTTGATAGCAGCCTTCAACTACCTGAAGGGGGGTTCCAGAGAGGATGGAGCTAGGCTGTTCAAAGTGGTGGCAGATGACAGAACAAGGAGCAATGGCCTCAAGTTGCAGTGGGGGAGGTTTAGGTTGGATATTAGGAAAAACTATTTCACTAAGAGGGTGGTGAAGCACTGGAATGGGTTATCTAGGGAGGTGGTGGAATCTCCATCCTTAGAGGTTTTCAAGGCCTGGCTTGACAAAGCCCTGGCTGGGATGATTTAGTTAGGGTTGGTCCTGCTTTGAGCAGGGGATTGGACTAGATGATTCCTTAGGTCTCTCCCAACCCTAATCTTCTATGATTCTAAGTAAATGATAGTTTCCCTCAAGATTCCTTCCTGGGGCTTGCACTAATTCCCTGGATGGAAAATTACTGAATATTGAAAGCCAGGGACAGAGTTTTGACCAGGGTTGGGGAGATGGAGCATGTTTCCGTGAGTCTCCTGGAAAATAAGGAACCAATCTTTAATTCATTGTACCTTTCAGGAAGATTTTTTGGGTGTGCAAGGAAGGCAGGCTCACATGGGAAATGACTGAATAGAACTGCTTTCTGCTGATAGGTCCCCATCTGGCAAAGTCCTTAACTTTAAACACATGAGTATTCCCACTGAAGTTAAAGATGTGCTCTAGTGCTTTGCTGAGACAGGGCCTTAAAGAATCTGAGTGTAAATCCTGCAACAATCATTTGTTTAAACCACCATTGGTTTAAAGATTTCTATAATCTTGATATTGAAACCCCCAAACCGTTTAGGAAATCACTGGCCATGATACTCACTGAGGCTCCTCCATAGGCCTCCACTCCACATAATGATACAGTTTTTGCACATTCTTCAGCCACTCTCTGAGGATCTCTGTGGTGTTATCAACGTTATGGTCAGTGGCTGCCCTGGAGAAATAAGGGCACAAAGAATCCCATTAATGTAGCATCTGAATAACAGACACAGACTGGACAGGTTAGGACCAGATTCTTTCTCGACAAAGAAATGCCCTCAAATGGGCGGACATACATTGTGTATAAATAGTAAAGTGCACCTGTATGCTGGCTGGCACCCCTGGAACTTTCCTCCTGTCCTAGCCTAGGGCAGATTAGGCCTGCCAGGAGCTCATATACTCTGCACTGGAAGTGTGTGTATAGTTCCAAATCCTGGTAAGAGACATACACACAAATCCATTCAACCCCCCCTTAGGATTCGCCTCGTGGGATTCTCTCTGCAGCACCTGTCCGGGTATGTCTACACTGCAATTAAAAACTGCCAGCTGGCCCGGGCTAAAAGCTCGGATTCAGGAGCTGTTTAATTGCAGTGTAGATATTAGTGCTCAGGCTTGAGCCCTGGATCTAGGACCCTGTAAAGTGGGAGGGTCCCGGAGCTCAGGAGTCCATAGGAGAAGGCCCGCGGCTTCTTCAACTGTTTCTGCCACCCGCTTTTCTGAGGTTGAATGTGTGCACTCGTGTTGTAAGAATCGGGTATAAAATAGCCCCAACTGAAATCAAATCTCAGCAGGGTAGATTCAGCCCTTCATGCTCCCTAAGCTGAGCACCACTTCCCTATTGCTCTATTTCCAATGCAATTTACTATGATTGGGACTTTTGCAGGAAACCTTACAGACTGGAGTCCTGACAGATTCACAGTAACATTAAGGATCCCACAGCACTTTTCCTAAGAGCTGGGATTTGCCCATTGGCATTGGACAAAATATTCCCTATCCTCACAGCCATGCAGCGTGCTGAGTACTACCATGGTCCCAGAGACAGACACATTTCAGTGGCACTGTATGGGGCAGATCCTCAGTTGTATAACATAGCATAGCTCCATGGACTTCACCCTGCTGAACCTGATAAGGATCTGCGCCCTCTGTATTTAATTTATGCAGTGCTTTGAGATCTTTCAGGACAAGGTCTTAGGTATTTTTTCTTACAATATTATATGACCTTATGAGACACAAACAAGGTCTGATTCTCCTCTTGTTTACACTGGTTCCATATCAGTGAAGCTTTTGTCTCCAGGGAATTTACCTGGTTTAGTGAGAGGAAAATCAAGCTGGAAAAGAATTAAATAGCTTCAGGACAGAAAGAAAGAAAGAAAGAAGTAGCCCAGTGCCAATCCTAGGAGTCTTATTGGTGCTCCTGGTTTCCTTCAATGAATATAAAAAGCCACGGCCTGTAACAGAAGACAGCAGTGGTTTTAGCCAGCTGCACCAATAACTTCAAGGGTTGTCTAACATTTACAATCCACATTCCTAAAATATCAGGGCACTCTTTTTAGTGGCCCTGCATTAGCAATCATTTGTGTTGCAGTAGCACTTAGGAGCCCCAGTCGTGGGACAGGCCCCCATTGTGGTAGGCGCTGTATAGACAGAACAAAAAGACATGCCTTCCCCTAAGAGCTTCCAAGTGTGCCTCCCTTCACATTTTACAAGGTCCTAGTTAGTCCTGATGACAGGGGAGGTTTTCAAGGGAGAGTTAGGCACACAATATGGTCAAGACAGGTTGTGTAGGTACCTAACTCCCCTTTGTGCCTTTGACAATATCCCCCAATTTTTCTATCCTGCTGAGTACATGGAAGGGAGAAGAAGAGGGTTTGACTGTAGTTTGGAGAGGGGAGTTGAAGCTCTGGCTTTGGTGTCAGGCCAGCCCCTTTATTACCGTGGGGCTGCTCTCTCACTTCACGCCAACGCCGAGTGTGGACTCTTTCTCTACTCAGCCCTGAGAACTACACAACCCCAAAATGTCAGCAGTATTGACGTTCACGGGGAGAGCAAAGCGAAGGAAGTAGGAAGAGATCGAGATAGTCATTAACAAAGGAAAAGCAATTTCCTTTAAAAAAATTAATACGAGGGAACGTTCCCTTTCCCAGCTGTTGATATACAGACATGAGGTCTGTTCTTGGAGGCTGGAAAAGCAGCTCCCCTAGGAAATAAATGCTGGCTAGCTGAACAGACGTCCTTATGGGTTAAGCAGACAGACACATAGGCTGTGTTTTACAGAGTTACAGCAACTCCCCCGTTAGCATCTAATTCACACTTATATCAATAGTGCCTCCTTGCTTGCTCCAGTCCAAGTGTGGAGACAGAAGTCTGCTCATACTGTCTGTTAGTGTAGGGATGCAACTATAGGGGCCTATGGAGTTCTACAATGAGCTCCATAACTGTCCTCATTTTTGAGAGAGGCGCAGCGCACACAGACCACATGTTCAGCATGCAGTGCTCCGTGTTGTGCCAAGATGGAGCACTTTTTGAAAATAAACACTTGACTTGTGCTACACTAATTGCTGGAGTCTTTCATAAAACATTGCGATCAACACAAACACCAGTTTATGTGACAAAAATGTCACTGGACAAGCGTCCTCTTCACAAAAGCCTCCATAAAAAGCTGCACTAGCTGGCACTCGCCAAAGGGAGGCTGAGGGGTGAAATGAAATGGAAGCTGGTGGAATGGCTAGATCATCAGAGAGGTCACTAGAGGGAAGCCTGCATAGCTGGAGCCTATGCTGTACCTACTCTGTGGGTTAGGGACTAAATCCTGTTCCCATTGGAGTTTTGCCAGTGACTTCACAGAGACAAGGATTTGGCTCAGATAAAGGATTTCAGTCTCCAGGTGTGTCCACCCAGTGGCATTTATAAGCCTTAAACTCTCAAACACAACAAAGTTAGTCACTTCTTGGATCACACATGCTCGGTGACTAGCAATTTGGCAAACCTTTACTTTTTCCAATTTAGAGCTTTAAAAATAGGCCATTCCCAACAGCTATTTTTGTTATTGTTCTCAGAACTATTTACCTTTAACACCATTAAAAGTCAGCATTCACCCATTGTTTCCACACAGTGGTATCTTACCACAGCAGTATGCATCCGTCCTTGGGATAAGAAGTGACTGTGGTGTCTCCAATATCTCTGTCTGGAAACAGTGGGGAAATCTTGACTATTTTATGACAACCACTGCATAAAAACCAAACCACCAACACCAAAAACCAAACAAAACATCAACACAGGTTTCTACTGTTTCTACATAAGTTTCCCTTATAAACTCTGCTTTTCTGTAATCACACGAACAATCTCTGCCACAGTCACCTTTTAGGGGAGAATGGGACATCGAGTAGGTTGCAGATTGGTAATACAATCCAGAGCTTTTTAACCTCAGCTCTCCAATTCTAATTTAGAGGTTACTCTCCCATTGTTTCCCGTGGCATAAGGGAAAGGCGTCTGATAGTCTCAGTCCAATTCCAATAGCACAGAGGTGTCCACATCACGAAAAACACCACCATCATTTGCTTCCTAACTGGCTGTCTGAGGTGGTGCACTGAATGGCCATGGAGAATGTGCTATACTCTCCCCTACAGAAACAGTTGCTGCCAGAAGGGGGTTGAGGCACATTGACAGGGCAATTTGTGAAAAGCGTATGCTGTACTTGGTCTGTCTGAACAAACATGGACTAATTTACTAGAATGCTCTGTGGTGGTGCAGGGATAAATGCAAGTGACAGAGGACTCATTGTGAGGATGCACAGTTTCACACTAGCCAGTCCTGATGCTTCAGTTACACACAATATTCTCCACTGTAAAGGAGCCTTCTTTGTGCTCAAACTATTGACATTTTAAAACTCATCCTGAATGCAGCTCTGCACTAAACAAGCCTCTTTTGAAAACTGACACTGAGAAAACAGCTTGATTTTTTTTTAAAGCAGCATTTGCTTGGGCGTATTGGTGTTGCCCTGACCCCAGTTTTCAATGGAGTTTCATGAATGACAGACAACTTCTAAGTTCAAAATTTCAGCACAGTTCACACCCAGTATGTAGACAGCACACAATCCTCATTAAAGTTCAACGGTGACCAGCCATACGGTCATATTAAGAATGGTGACTGGACTGCCCCCTGCTGGTGTAAAGTAGTAAAAACAAAATCAAACCCTACAGATAGCTACAGATCCTAAATCAGGCACCCAGATTCTGCCTGAGTGCTGCATTAAAACAAGTTTTCAGGAATTCCACCAAATTTGCATCCCATGGAGCAGATGGCAAAGTCCCTAACTCCATTGTTAATATGGCCATGCTGGCACAGAGCTATAGTTCCCAGCATACAATGCCCCATCCTGATCCAATTGGTCAGGCTGACAGAGCTGCTTAGCTAGAGATGGAGCACTGCATGCTGGTACCTGTAGTCTGCATGGCTTGCATCACTGTATGAAAGAGTAGAGTGGCCTGGGGCCATGTTGATGAACTCACTGGACCATCTTAGCCATTCCTGTCCTTTGATTTACCTAAACTGTAGTAGAATAACCTATACAATATTGCCAATTCCAGACATTCAAAAATCATGATTTGAGCCCCCCAAAACCATGAGATTGGCTGATAAGCCATGAGATGTTTAAAAAAAATAAGAAACTTGTTCTTCTGGTTTCTCAGCCTCTAGGGTGCACTCTGGTCATGTTTTCAAGATTTTCTCTGCAACCACGAGGGTTAGAAATTTTCATTTAAAAAAGTCAGTAAGCTGAGTGACCACAAGCACCGGTCATAAATACCCTACAAACTACTGTAATAATCTTACTACAAAATATGCCTTATGAGATATCATTTGAAAACTAATAACTCACTGATCATTAATATTCTTGGGTGATATATGGATGCAGTGTGTATTAAGAGTTGTGGATATATGCTGGACTTATTAATAAAGTGTGTTTAAACCAGGCATATGGAGGAAAGTTGGTAAACAGATCTTCCTGAGACAACGGAACGTGTATTTGATTCTCTGACCATCCCGCTCTTCAGGCAGACACAATGAAAGTCCATTTTTACGTACACCTCTACCCCGATATAACGTGACCAGATATAACATGAATTCGGATATAACACGGTAAAGCAGCGCTCCGGGGGGGGCGGGGCTGTGCATTCC